ACCGAGGTAGCGGCGCAGCTGCGGGAGGACGTGACCTCGCAGCTGCGGCAGGAAGGCGCCCGCCTGGGCCTGGCTGTCTCCTTCTTCCGCCTGCTGCTGTCCTTCACCTTCCTCTTCGTCTTCTTCTCGTGAGCCTTGGGATGGTCAGGGGGTGGGGGTGACGCCCCTGTGCCAGCTGTGGGGCACAGAGGGGTGGGGGCCTTCTTTGGCAGCAGGTTGGGGGGTGGGGGTGACGCCCCTGTGCCAGCTGCGGGGCGTGCAGAGGGATCAGGCAGAAGGTCTGGGGGGGGGGCATGAAGACAAGGGGGGTCCTGGGGGCTTCACCCACTGCCTCCTTCACCCCAGACCTGTCCTCTCTCACCAGGGCTTTCCACTACACCTATCAGTACTGTCACAAAATCGGCTTTGACAACTGCTACATCACCACCTATTTCCGCCAAATCGATGCCCGGCGTAGAGAGCAGGTTGGGCAGGGGGAAAGGGGTGCAGGGCAGCCCCGTCACCCCCAGTGGGGTGTCCCAGAGGCTGCACTGAGACACCCCCTGCCCCTCACCCAGAACAAGCAGACGTTGCTGCCCCTGCTCAAGGAGGAGACCTCGTCTTTCATCTTCCCGTGCAAGCCGGCCTTGCAGCGGCCTGAGCGGCAGCACATGGTGAGGGGCTGAGGGTAATCGGGGGGGTCAGAGCTGGGCACAGCAGGCTGTGACAGCTCCCCTGCTTCCCTGCAGGTGATGGAGCTGCTCAGGTGCATCCCACTCCTGCTCTTCCTCCTCTTTGTCTGTGGCCTGGACCATTTCATCTTCACCATTCTCAGCGTCATCCAGCATCATTCCTTCATTGAGTATTCCTACCAAAGTGAGCTCACGGCCCTGGAGGGCTGGCCCATGATCCCACCATGCCCCTCAGCAATGCAGGGACCCCGTCAGCCCTCCCAGCCCCTCCTCAGCCTCCCTATCCTGCCATCCCACAGCCAGCCACCACTTGTCCGTGAACGTGATGGGCACATCCCTGATGGCACAGCTCCTGCGGGGCACCATCGGGGCCCTCAACACCTCCTATGACACCGAAGTGGAGACCTCCAACCTCGGTAAGCCCCTGCCAGGGATGGAACCCCCCCAGCCAGGGGCTGCCACAGGGGGCTCACAGCTGTGCCCTGTCCCCAGCCTGCCTGCCACAGCCCACGGCGATGACGAGGCAGCAGTACGTGACCACCTGCCTGCCGCTGGGCGCGCTGGCCCTGCTCTGCCTGGCCCAGGTGTACCCGTTCCGCCTGCGCCGCGCCATCGCCGCCTTCTACTTCCCCAAGGTGAGCAGCCCGAGGGCTGGGCACAGCCTGGGGGTGGCTTCTGGGGTGGGTTTTGCTGACCTTCACGGTCTTTTCTGGCACAGAGGGAGAAGACTCGAGTGCTGTTCCTGTACAACAAGCTGCTGCGGCAGCGGAAGAATTTCTTGTACCTGCAGCGCGGGCGTGTAGCCCGGCAAGCCCGGCAGCCGCCCGAGCTGGTGAGTGGGGACAGGGACACGGGGTGCTGGGAGGGGTTGCCACTGTCCTCTGACCCCTGCAGCCCCACACGGGCCTGTCCTCGCTGCAGGGGACGCTGGTGCTGCGGTGGTGCTGCCGGCGCTGGCCCTGGCTGCGCCGCTTCGTGCGCCAGAAATGCACCTTGTGTGGGACCCCCGAGACCCCCCAGCACCTGCCCTGCCCCAACCCCGACTGCTTTGCCTTGTACTGTGAGTCCTGCTGGAGGGTGATTGGGGCCACCTGCATCGCCTGTGGCCCTGCAGACCCTGACCTCGTCCAGGAGAGCAGCGAGGATGAGGAGGAGCAGGGATATGCGGGATGAAGGTATTTGGGAATAAATGTTTTGACTGCCTGTTCATGGTGTGAAGTGGGGTCTGGGGGTGTGTCTGCCAGGGAGATGCTGAAGGTGAGGGTCTCTGCTGCACTGGATGATGGAGGTGGAGCATCTGCTGCTTTTGGAAAGGTCAGTTTTGAGTTAATAGCCTTTAACATTCCAGTCTCTCACATCTGATCCCCACCCTGCTCCTGGGCACAGGGACAGGCACTCACAGGGTGCCCAGGCACACCCTGAGTAGAGGATGCTGGCCCTGAATTCCAGGCTGGGGCTGTTTATGGAGCTGTTCACCTAGAGCTGCAGTCCCCTGGGATCTTCTCCTTGCACCAGCAGTTCATGGCTGCAGGGATGGAGGGGGGTGGTGGCAGCAGAGCTGGAATCCCCAGGAATCACTGTGCCCCCCGAGGGTCAGGGCATGGGTCCCACACATCACCCTTGAGCACTGGCAGAGGAAACTGAGCTGCACGGGCAGGCAGACCAGGTGGCTGATGAGGGGCACGGGCACTTTTGTCATGCAGGTGGCATATCCAGGTGCTGGAAATGATCTCTCAGTCGTAGCTGGGGGGCAGAAGCTCTCAGCTGCGTGTGCAGCCCCAGCCCCACTGGCCCAGGTGCTGCCTGGGGTGCCCTGTGGGGCTGGCACTGGGGCAGCCCCCTCCCATGGCTGCCAGCCCACTCCCATCCAGGGGAAAAGGGAGGAGGTTGTTTTCAATCTCTGCGCAGTAATGAGAGGGATAATAATGGTTATCCAGAGGTCTTTGCAAATAGAACAGTAGTTATTGGCAACAAGTGAACTGGCTTGGATTTGGCATTGAGTGAAACTTGAAAACAACGTTGTTAAAGTAAGGAGGAAAGGAAGGAAGGAAGGAAGGAAGGAAGGAAGGAAGGAAGGAAGGAAGGAAGGAAGGAAGGAAGGAAGGAAGGAAGGAAGGAAGGAAGGAAGGAAGGAAGGAAGGAAGGAAGGAAGGAAGGAAGGAAGGAAGGAAGGAAAAAGAAAGAAAGAACGGAAAATAAAGGAGAAAAGAAAAGAAAAGAAAAGAAAAGAAAAGAAAAGAAAAGAAAAGAAAAGAAAAGAAAAGAAAAGAAAAGAAAAGAAAAGAAAAGAAAAGAGCCCACCCTTGGATCCCGTGGTGTGCTCGCTGTCTCTGGCTGTGCTCCGCTGCTGGGATCACCCTTTTCCCCCGAACGGAGTCTTTTAAAGTCCCTGAGCTGTGGCCGGGCAGGTCCGAGATTTCACCACCACACCCATAAACTCTCCCTTTCCCTCGGGCAGAGATGCAGAGCCGGCCTCAGCGAAGCCCCTCCTGCCCTTCCCAGTGCCGAATATTTGAGGCACTCCCATTTCATCTCCCAGTCCCACTCTGCTGTCTCCAGGCAGGTTGCCCAGCCCTGCTCTCTGCACAGAGCAGTAAATAAATCAAATACCTCGCCCTGTGGTGAAAGAACCTGTTCTGGGACAACACCACCCCCCCGTGGCTCAGAGCCTTTAAATCTTCCCGGGAATTCTTCCAGCTTGGTGAACAGAAGGAAGAGATGAGATAGAAGAGATGAGATAGAAGAGATGAGATAGAAGAGAGTGAATGAGGAATTCTACAATGAGCAGCAGCAGCAAAGCCAGTCCTTACGAATATAAATCCCACTGACAACATCACTCCTGTTTGCATCAGCCATTTCCCCACCCTGGGAGCCCCAGGGGCTACAACAGCAGGACAATTCATGGTTCAGGACTCCATCCACCAAACCAGCCCATTACCAGAACAATCCCAAGGTTTGCTCAGCACTTTTGTTCACCTTGGCTTAGGCTTCTTCCATGGAAGCAGCAGCAGCAGCGTTGTGGACACAGCATTCCCCACTGGTGAAGTTTAATATTCCACATATCCCTTATTCCTTTAATCACAGTGTTTCTAACTCTGGTGCATTCTGCAGTGTCATCTTCACAGCCTGCTGAAGCACGGGTTTCATTCTCCAGGAGCACATCTAGTCCTGTTGCTCACAGCGTGTGCTTGCCAAGCTGAATTTCCCCCAGCCTGTTGGTGTCTCATTATTGCACTTCTGGCAGAGAAACCTGCTCCAAACCCCAGGGCCAAAGTCATTCCGAAGGCAGAGTCACAGAATCATGGAATCATGGGATGGTTTGGGTTGGAAGGGACCTTAAAGCTCGTCTCATTCCACCCCCTGCCATGGCAGGGGCTTCTTCTGCTAGCCCAGGTTGCTCCAAGCCCTGTCCAACCTGACCTTGGACATTTCCAGGGATGGGGCAGCCACGGGCAACTCAAGCAACCCATGCCAGGGCTTCACCACCCTCACGGGGAAGAATTTCTAACCTAACCCTGCTCTCTCTCAGCTTGAAGCCTTTCCTCCTTGTCCTGTCACTCCAGTTCCCGATGAACCCTGGGGTTGGGTGTGGGACAATGCAGGTCCCTGCTCCACTGCTGGTCCCTGGCAGGCCCAGCTGGGCTGTGCTGGGATTGTTCTCCTTCCCAGGGTATGGGACAGGCTTTGCTGGGCTTTCTGGGACCCCTGCTCCCTCCCATGGTGCCCAGAACTTTCCATGGCATCGCTGCTCCTTCCCAGTGGCCACAGTGGGATCTGATGGAGTTTCCACAGAGCAGCGTGGACCCTCCCAGGAGCACCACGGCTTCTGCTGGGCTCTGCCCGTGTCCACACAAGCCCCTGCTCTGTTCTGGCTCAGCTGCAGATCTCCCCACGCTCTGCCCAGCCCACAGGAGCGCCTGCTCCCCCCAAAAGGCTCAGTGGGCTCCATCAGCAGAGATCTGGGGGCTCTGCCAGCCTTTCTGCAGACCAAACTTCTTCCTCCTGGGGCACTTCAGGGCTTCTCCCTTGCCTGGGCTTCCTGCAGGCCCACAGCTGAGCCCACCCTGACTCCTGGCACACCGTGGGCTCCATCAGCCTTTCCCTGTTCAATGGGCACTGCCATACTTTGAGTAGAACCCAAAAGCTTTTGTGTTCCCACCTCCTGCACACCCTGGAGCAAGCAAGGAGCTGGGGGGACCCCACAGTGAGCCTGGGGACCCCACCAGTCTCCCCCTTCCACCACGGTGCCAAAGCCGTAGGGTTCCCTGGCACAGACAGTGCCATGCTGAACATCCAACACCAAACACCAAATCCACACCAAACACCAAATCCACACCAAACACCCTTTATTCACCACCCACTGGGACAGCAACAACAGTCCCAGGGTACTCCAGCCCCCTCAGGGACCCTGTGTCCCCTCGGGGCTGGTCCCTCAGTGGTCCCTGAGGTCCCTCAGTGATCCTTGAGGTCCCTCAGTGGTCCCTGAGGTCCCTCAGCGGTCCTTCCTGCGCAGCGGTGGGGACGGGGGGTAGTGGCGGGCAGGTGGCACGTCGTAGTGACTGGGGATGTGGCTGTTCTTGGGGGAGTCGTAGTGGCTGGGGGGGTCTCTGCTGGGGGGGCCTTCGAGCCCTTCAGGACAACTCTCTGTGGGGACAAGAGAAGGCTGCAAGGGGACATGTTTCCCCCAGGGTCATGAAGGCCCCGTCACTGATGTCCCCCCCAGGGCTGTCACCAAAGCTGTCTCCTTCCTGGGGCTATGCACTCCCCAGCACTGGGGTTGTGACCCCACTGACCAGGGCCACCAGGGCCACCAGGGCCACCAGGGCCACCAGGGCAGGGGATGCCCAGCCGTACCGTCCTGTGGTGGCTCCTCAAGGAGCCCGATCTCGGCGTAGGACATCTCCCGCTGCACAGGGGATTTCATCTCCATGTAGCTGCCCTCGTGGGCCTTGGCCATGGCAGGGGGCAGCTCCTTGATGGTGGCGTAGGGGTTCTCGCTGGCCAGGGAGCTGGCGCTGGCCCTCAGCCCCTCCCAGGGGTGCTCTGGGGGTGGCAGGGAGCACAGGGAGAAGGAACAGCTGTGTCTCAGGCAAGTCCCAGCCCCATCCCTTTCCTACCCCATCCCTGTCCCTTCCTCATCCCCACCCTAATCCAGTCCTGTTCCAGCCCATTCCCAACCCATCCCTGCCTCTTCACTATCCCAACCACGTCACTTCCCCATCCCAACCCATCCCTGTCCTTTCCCAATCCCAGCAAATTCTGTCACTTCCCCATCCCATCCCATCCCATCCCATCCCATCCCATCCCAATCCCATCCCCATCCCTAACCCAACCCTTTTCCCAACCCTTTTCCCATCCCTGTCCCTTCCCCATCCCCATCCTCATCCAGTCCTGTTCCAAACCATCCCATCCCATCCCAATCCCATTCCAACCCATCCCTGTCCCTTCCACAACCCAGCAAATTCTGTGACTTCCACATCCCATCCCATCCCAATCCCAATCCTATCCCCATCCCTAATCCAACCCTTTTCCCATCCCTGTCCCTTCCCTATCCCCATCCCCATCCTAATCCAGTCCTGTTCCAGCCCATCCCCAAACCATCCCATTCCAATCCCAATCCCATCCCTATCCCAACCCAACCCCAAACCTTTTCCCATATCCCATCCCATCCCATCCCATCCCATCCCATCCCATCCCATCCCATCCCATCGCCATCTCCATCTCCATCGCCATCTCCATCTCCATCCTATCCCATCCCATCCCATCCAATCCCAATCCCATCTGTATCCCAACCCAACCCAACCCCAAACCTTTTCCCACACCTGCCCCAGGCCCAGTTTATCCCTTGCCCATCCCATCCCCGTCTCTTCCCTTTCTCCACCCCACTCCTACCTTTGCTGTCACCCTTCCTCAGGACATGGCTGTAGGTGTAGCTCCTGTCCAGCTGCCTCCCTGTTGAGAGGGCAGATTTGGGGTCCCCTCTGCTTCATCTTCCCCCCAGCATGAAGGTTCTCCAGCCCCTTCCCAGGGGATCCTGAGCAGGGGGGGACTCAAGTGCCCACCCCACTCTGGATCTGCCTCTCCACCTCCTCCTTACCCCTGGTGCCCAGGGCTGATGCCCCGAGGTGTTTCCAGTCAGGAGGCAGCGTGGCATTGCCTTCGGGGCTGTAGGGTCTCTCCATGCCAGGGAAGAGCTGGGTGCCAGGCACCTGGAGCCCAAAAAAGGGGACGGGTTGGCCTCGAAAGTGGTGGCAGTGGTGGCCCACGCTGCCCTGTGCCACAACCTGCCATACCTTGAGGGAGCTGGCTCTGTCCTGGGGGGCTGGCAGCGGGCACTGGGACAGCGTGTGGTAGCTGGGGTTGGAGTAGTAGTGGGCATGGTGGCTCGGGGGTACATCTGGAGGGACACAAGCGGTGCCTGAGGTGACAGCCTGGTGCCAGAGGGCCACCAGGGCTGGGGCCACACCCCCACCACGCTGCACTGACCTGGCACCATGTAGTCTGAGGTGTCCGTCTGTCCTGCTCGGTAGGCCACGGCCAGGTGCCGCCGCTCCTTGTCCTTCTGCCAGCGGTGCCAGCACAGGGTTGTGGCCACCACAGCCACCAGCAGCACCACCAGGGCCACCAGGCTCAGCACCATGCCCAGGGGGCTGTAGGCTGCAGGGGGGGCTGGCTCGATGGTGTAGGGCAGGTCAGGATTCCCTGGTGGGGAGGGGAGGAGTGTCAGTCCTTAGGGTGGGGGAGGGACCCTGGGGACCCCCCGCCCTGCCCCCACTCACCAGCCTCACAGCGGGGCCCAGTCGTGCCTGGGGCGCAGGGACACGTCCCATTGGTGGGGTCACAGGTGGCGTTGTGGGGACAGTGGCAGAGCTGGTCACACTGGAGCCCAAAGGTCCCAGGGGCACAGGCTGGGGACACAGCGGTACCCTACAGCTCCATACTGGGACCAGAAGGTGGTCCAATAGCTCCATACTGGGACCACAAGGTGCTCCAGTAGCCCCATACTGGGACCAATGAGGCACAAGGTGGTCCAATAGTCCTGTATTGGGACCAGCCAGCTACAAAGTGGTCCAATAGCCTCATACTGGGACCACAAGGGGGTCCAATAGTCCCATACTGGGACCAGCCAGCCACAAGGTGGTCCAATAGCTCCATACTGGGATCAGTGAGGCAAAAGGTGGTCCAACAGCTCCATACTGGGACCAGCCAGTCACAAAGTGGTCCAATAGCCTCATACTGGGACCACAAGGTAGTCCAATAGCTCCATACTGGGACCACAAGGTGGTCCAGTAGCTCCATACTGGGACCACAAGGTAGTCCAATAGCCTCATACTGGGACCACAAGGTGGTCCAATAGCTCCATACTGGGACCAGCCAGCCACAAGGTGGCCAGGACCATGGAGGTCCACAGGGGTCTGTATGGCTCTGTACTGCCCAGGCCAGAACCACGTAGGAGTCACCCAGGTGGCCACGGGCAGTTCTCTCTTGCTCCCCCCATCTGAACCAAGGGCACCTCGCTCCCCACTCCCCCTGACCCCCACTCACGCTGGGAGCAGCGGGGGCCGCGCCAGCCCGGGCTGCAGAGGCAGGAGCCATTGCTGGGGTGGCAGGAGGAGCCGTTGGCACAGGAGCAGCTCAGGGAGCAGCGTTTGCCGTAGCGGCCAGCGGGACAGGCTGGGGACAGAGGAACGAGCTCGGCCTTGATCCCGAAGGATCAGGAGCAAGCTGGACTTTTGGGGGGTGCTGACTCACGGCGCTGGCAGCTGGGGCCGCGGTAGCCCGGGGTGCAGGTGCAGGATCCGTCCTGCGGGGAGCAGGAGGCTCCGTTGCGGCAGGAGCAGGACATGTGGCAACCCCGGCCCCAGGATCCCTGGGGACAGCCCTGCTTGCACTGCCGCCCTGCAGGGAGGGTGAGAGGTGAATCTCATGGCTGAGGGCACTCTGGGGTCCCCCCAGAGCCTGGTGTCCCCTTTACCTGTCCAGCCGGGCAGGCAGTGGCACTCTCCTGTCACGGGGTCACAGCTGTCGGCGTGGGCGCAGACGCAGCGCTCCCCACAGCCTGCCCCAAACGTCCCGTTCTGGAGCACGGCGACAGGCTGGGAGTCAGCACAGGCTGCTGGCACCAAAGCCCGGTGCCAGCAGCACCAGCACAGCCAGCAGGACTCACCGGGCAGGGCTGCAGGCAGTGAGGGCCCTGCCAGCCCGGGGGGCAGTGGCAGGTCCCGCTCTGGGGGTCGCAGGACCCCCCATGGGCACAGTCACAGCTCCGGTTGCAGCCGGGACCCCAAGTACCAGCAGGACACGGCAGTGAGCAGTCAGGTCCGTGCCAGCCTGTGAGATGGGATGAGGGGACAGTGTGGGGATGGGGACAGGGACAGGGACCCCCCCAGGACCCGGTGTGCACCCACCTTCCTTGCAGAAGCAGGAGCCGTCGAGCTGGGAGCAGGCGAGGGCGTGCTGGCAGGAGCAGCGCCCCGAGCAGTTCATGCCAAAGGTGTTGGGGGGACACAGGGAGGAGCAGTGCTCGTCCTGGGTGTGGGGACCAAGAATTCAGGACAGATGGGACCCCTGCCCAGGGCCGGGGAAAGCACCCACGTGTCTGGGGGTAACCTGGTGCTGTAGGGAAAGTGGACAACCCCAAAATCCCCATTCTCCCACGGGAACCCCAAGCTCTCCCCAGCATTGCCCAGATCTCCAAATTGCCCCCGAAAGATGCCCCCAAAGGATGCCCAGACCCTGAAACTGGCCTCAGAGATAACCAGACCCCCAAGCCATCCCTGAGGATGCCCAGACTCCCATATCTCTCCAGGGATGCCCAGATTCCCATGCTTCCCCCAGGGATGCCCAGTCCCCATTTCCCCCAGGGATGCCCAGACCCCCCTGTTTCCCCCATGGATGCCCAGTCTCCGTTTCCCCCAGGGATGCCCAGACCCCCCTGTTTCCCCCATGGATGCCCAGTCTCCATTTCCCCCAGGGATGCCCAGACCCCATGCTTGCCCACCCTCCAAACCATCCAGACACCCCCATTGCCCCCAGAACTATCCAGAGCCCCATGATCCCTCCAGCACCACCCAGACCCCCCTGTCCCCCACGCCCCTCACCGTGTAGCCGGGGGGGCAGTGGCAGTGGCCCGTGGTCCCATCACAGACCCCCCCGTGGAGGCAGAGGCAGCTCTGCAGGCACCCAGGCCCGAAGTAGCCAGGGGGGCAACTCTCATTGCAGTAGAGCCCAGCCCAGCCCGGGAGGCAAAGGCACTCCCCGAGCATCGGGTGGCAGCTGGGGGTGCACGCTCAGAACCCCAGTGCTCCCAGTACAGGGCACTGGTGGTGCTGGGGAGGGGCTTTGCAAACGGGGGAGCACAAAACTCCTGCCCCAGGAGGGGATTAAAGGGTTCCTGGTCATGCAGCCAGCACCTGGGTGTGGGGGCATCGTGGGGGGAGGAAGGAGGGGAGGAGGAGGTTGGTGCAGAGGGAGGTGAGGGTGGTGGGAAAAGGGAAGAGGGTGGGAGGAGCCGGTGAGGTGGGATGGGGGTGCTGGGATGGGATGGAGATGTTGAGGTGGGATGGGGATGTTGAGGTGGGATTCAGATGCTTAGAATGTGCTGGGGATGCTGGGGTGGGATGGGGGATGTCAGGGTGGGATTGGGGTTCCAGGATGGGATGGGGATGCCAGGGTGGGCTGGGGATGCCAGGGTGGGATGAGGATGCCAGGATGGGATGGGAATGCCAGGATGGGCTGGGGATGCCAGGGTGGGCTGGGAATGCCAGGGTGAGCTGGGGATGCCAGGGTGAGCTGGGGATGCCAGGATGGGCTGGGAATGCCAGGGTGGGCTGGGAATGCCAGGGTGGGCTGGGGATGCCAGGGTGGGCTGGCCGCAGTACCTCAGGCTGTGCTGGGGGTGGCAGAGGCAGCGGCTCTCGCAGTGCAGCCCGTAGAGGCCGGGCAGGCAGTGCCGCTCCTCGCAGCGGCTGCCCTGGAAGCCGGCCTGGCACAGGCAGCCCCCGTCCACGTGGAAGCACTGGCCCCCGTTGGCACAGTCACAGCTCTCCCGGCAGTCCTGCCCGTACCGCCCCACTGGGCACCTCTCCTGGCACCTGCGTGGGGGGCACAGGAGGTGACACAGCCCCACCGAGAGCTGGGGTGCCCCTGGGATCCCCCCTGGCCCCGAGCTGAGGCCATCCAGCTCATTGCATGCCACACGGGGGGAGCTGGGGGTGCCTGGCCTGCATGGAGACCTGGCAGCAGTGGGTTGTGGTGGCCTTGTCCCCGTGTGCCACATCCCCCTGCCATCCATGTGCCCTTGTCCCTTGATGCCCCTCCCTGTGCACCCCCATCTCCATCTGCTCCCAGACCATGGACCCCCACCCCAAAAATGCCCTGTCCCCAAGTGTCCCCTCCCCCTGCCCCCATCCCCTTGGCCTTCCAACCCCCAGCCCCTCATTCC